AAATTTAAAATTTAAAATTTTAATTAATTAATAATTCAATTTCAGTTACGATTAAAATCAAAGTGTACCACTCCTAATAGATGCCACTGTCCTATGCAAAGGGCATTATCACGGGCATTGTTTGGGAATGTCTTTTGGGTATTTTAGTTTTTAATTTCTAAATTTTTTTATTATTCATTAAATACATAAAATATTAATTAAAATAAATATTAAATATTTTAAATATATTTTATATTTTTAAAAAAATATTAATAAATTAAAAATAAATAAATAAATAAACCGAACAACAAATACAAGTATACAACCTAACGCTCTAAAGCGAAATCTAAACTAGCAGCAGACGCGGACAGGGACCCACTACTTACCTATTGAACATGACAAGTGACAACCCACGTGATATTATGGAAATGCAATTTCATAGTATTGTTCCAAACATCTATCATAAGATTTTCGAGTCTTGTAATCTCAATTATATTCAACCTTATGCACTTGGGCTTTCACCCAATTACATCAATCATGTATAAGTGCATCACATTATTTTTAAGATAATGGTTTGAATTTTATCTTTTATAAATTTGTTTAAAAAAAATTATATTCAATTATATAAATCATTAAATAAAATCATAATTTTATATTAAAAGCCTACTACATTTAATATAATTTTAATTATATAATAAAGTGTAACTCAAACTATATAATATTTTTTTTTAAATTCAAACTCTATTTTAGTGTGCATGTTACATAAAATTATAAACAAATCAAGTTAAAAACTATAGTAATTATAGTTAAACTCAATCCATAGTATTACTCACCTTAAGTTAGGGCTCTATATTTCAAAATATATAACATTGTAAGTATAAAGAATTAGAAAATGGGCAGCGGAGTAGCACTAATTTCAAACCAAACAATTATTCCATTCAGATGGACAACTAAGGAAGACGTTTTCTCCCCTTCCTAATTAGGGTTTCAATTTTAGAAAACTTTGCTTATAGAGTACTTAGAGTAGGCATATTCAATGAATTGAGGTATGTATCAATTACCAAATATACATAAAGATCTTGTAATTTATTTATTTATTTTTATAATTCAAGTAAAGAATTAAAATTCCTTCAACCAAACAAATTATAAAGATCTAAACTCATGTAATAAGTAATTCAATTAAGTGTTTCATCATCATGCATATAAAGTCCTAAACCCAATTAGTGTTTTTTTAACCCTAATACTAACAAATGATATTAATAATTCAGAAAAATAAAGATCAACACGTTTTATTTTTGAAAAATATCATGTCCATTTTCAATTATATGATAGATGAATAGCGGGATTTATTTCACTATGTCCTAACAAAACATTGTAATTTTTCTCATTTTGATAATAATTACTGTAAAAGAAAAGGCAATATGAGAAGCTAAAGGGGAAAATTTTGAACTTACCGAGATCAGAAGCATTCAATCGAACAAACAGATCCTGGCCGCCGGAGGAGTATTCCTTCATATCCAGGAGTTCACCGAACCAGATGACACATCCCGAACCTCTGTTACTGATATCAGCGTTAGCATAAGCAGTGCAAGAACAATTCCTCAGGCACATATCTTCGCAGGCGACAAGACTCATATTCCGGTCCACAAACGCCGTGGTACTTTGCGGCAACTTCACATTCCTGAGGTGCAAGAATTTGTCTGACATGCATCCCAAATCCGTCTTCCTCACACACCCATCGGACCCATCTCTCAAATTCCACGCTTGCAAGTTCTTCGGCGTGAACCCCCTCAGACATTTGCAAACAGGGGACGCATTCGCGTCGCAAATACCATATGGACCACACTGCCGGTAATAGTCGCACTGGTCCTCCGGTGCGTACCAGAATCGGCTCCATTGTTTTGCGTCATTGATCCAGGTTAACCTCTCAAGAGTTCCGGCATCATTAACGACCAGCCTGTAAAACAGAGTATTGTTTGAAACAGAGAATGAGTAGGACACCTCGTCTTGATCGGCAATGAATTCAAACACAAGGTAATCCACCGGTTCCATCTCCGGTACGCCGCTGAACCGAAGGCCATTCCAGGGCCCGCTTCTGTATCTTATCTGCTGCTTGTTCCACAGAAAAATCTCTGGAAAACCCTGGTAATTTAGCTTGAACGAGAAATCCCCTGAAGACGGATCCTGTAAGCTTCTCCATGAGGTCAAGTACCTATCCAAAAGATCAACAAGAACTTAGCTGAATCAAGATTAATTGGAAGTTTCTGTCAGGAATTCGAACATCTACAATAGCCAAGTACGATTCTAATCTCTACCTGTCTAAACCTGTGGTCAGATTCCAACCAAGTTTCATGTCCGGTAACAGGGTATCGGTCGGAAAATCAAAGCTTTGCCAGAGATAGTTATTGGGATCCCCTGCATCTCTCAGAACCAAATTCCCAGAATCCCACAGCTCTGCAACATTGTTATTACCTTTCGTTATGTTCGATGACCACACCTGACTCTGATTTTGGTCCAGAAGAACAATGTTCTGATCTACAACCTTGAAAACTCCGGACGAGTTAGAAAGAGGGCTGTCCCTGTTAGCAATCCACACGTACGTTCTCGTAGGGATGTTCTTGTACCAAATTCCAACGTACCAATTGTCTGAATCCCCCGAATTGAAGAATCCCAGCTCAAATACATCGCCGGCCGAGACGAGGGTTTGGTTACCAGTAACAAAATTGGTAGCAGTCAGGGAGTCTATGGAGATTGAGATTGTGGGGAATAAGAAGATAACCAGGGAAGTGAAGAACAAGAGGCTGAAACGGTAGCTCCTCATGTTACAATTTACTGGGGTTTGGAGAGATTTCTTTCTGAAGAAAACATGGGGATATATGGTTCGTTCTTGTTGAATCCATTTGGTGTTATTTGATAGGAGAGAATGTTGACTTTGCCTTCTGCCTTTTTTATTTTATTGGTTTCTTTCTTGTTGTTACGTTTTGATTTTTGAACATTTTAATCATCAAACCGACTCAAACTGTTGTTTTTGAAAAGAGAGGATATAAACTTTACCAGGGTGGTTAAAGCTACTTGACTCATAAGATCAGATTTGTTGTTACGGTTTTGATGGTTGGAAATGGAATAAAGAACAAAGACCTTAATTTCATGAATGAATAATGTTTTAAAAAAGGGGACGAGAAAAGATGGGCTTGAGAACGGGAGTTTTGAGTTGCTAGGTCTGAACAGGAAGATCACCTAACTTTATTTGTTTTAGTGTTTCCAGACTGATTGTGATGGATTTCCCAGTTTTTTCAGAAAGGGGAAAACAAAACCAATTCATATACGGAATGTTTCTTAGGCTGGTTTGGGGGCTAGAAGGGGTTTTCACAATACAATTGTCAAGAGTTGTGAGATATTTCGCGTTATAGAAAGGCTCGTTAGTTGGTGTGAAGATTTATGTTGTGCTGTTTTCTCTTATCAATTATATTCGACCATATCCTATTGAATAGAAGACTTAACATTGAAAGGCTTGCTTGCATACCAAGTGATGCAAAAGCAATCATTTTTCTTTTTTAATATTAACTACAAATCAGTTTAAAGCCTTTTCCCATGCAAGATTGGCCCAAAAATAATTTTCTTTACGAAATACCATTATATATTTGGCTTTTAAGATTGTCAATTTCTTGACCAATCTTCTATTGTCATTCTTTTTCAAAAGTATGAATTACAAATATAGAAAAATGTTTGATTTCTTTGTAATGTACCTAAATCTTTTGAATCTTCGTTGTTTGCACTGGCCTTTTATTCCTCATGATGAAAGATCCAATGGGAAACTGTCTTTGATTTGGATTAAAATTATGGGACAAAACAGAATTTGTCAATGTCAATATTGTTCACAAATGGAAAATCGTTAGGGTTTAAGCACATAAATTTGACTAATGTTGATGGACAGGGTCCACAGAGAGTCATTGGATTATCATCCTATTTCAAAATTGAATTACTTTACTTCATGACATCATGTAGTATAACAAGTTGGACCTGAGGCAGGGCTGAAAAGAAATTGAACTGATGCATATTTCATCCCATTTATAACTACATCTTTGACGTGCAAATTAAGAAAATACTGCAAACATTGGACAAGTGAAGAAAGAAACCAATCATTATGGCGAATTTATTAATTTCGCATTCTAGATGGAAGAACAGCAACATAATCCCAATATAAGTTAAGAACAAAAATCAGCACGGCCCAGTAAGACAATTAATCAAACACCTGGTGTGCATTGAAAAAAAAAAAAACTCTGATCTTCTAGACCTCATCACTTCAAAACCCAAAAAATTTTCCCACATCTCTCACCTATTCAATTGAACAATTTTACCAGTACATTCAGTCAATAAGCACTCAAGAACAATAAAAATCAAATTTTACTTTATTTTTTCTTTATATTTTCTCAATTCCCATATTCCCCTTTATTTAGAAAAATGTACTACAAGAAGTTCAAACATCATGTATATGTCGTGTAATAAAAAAATAAATCATTAAGTTTATCCTCATTCCAAAGACTAATTCACATTAGAAATTGGTGAAACAATTCTGACACTTCAAAACATGAAGGAAGAAAATACAGGGACCATGGAGGTATGAATGGTGAATTTGCCATGAAGTTATACGTACATGATGGCGACGGAAGGGGAAAAATAAAACGATTTATCTTCCTGATACCGTTGTAACAGTGACATCATTTGAGGATACGAAATCTTGACCATCCAAATAAAAGTCTGTACCGTCGGAGCCCTTCAATGTCTTCTTGCAAATATATTTTGGTTGTCTAGGCTCTGGAAGTGTTGGAGTGCCTTCACTTTCAAGAATTAGCACTACGGATTCCATTTTCGGTCTGAGTGCTGCAGAATCCTGCACGCACAGCATGCCAACATGTATGCATTTCAGAACTTCACTAGAATTACATGTGTCTCGAATAGAGGGATCAACGAGCTCCATTGGCTTATTTTCCTTCCAAAGTTCCCATGCCTGAAACAAGTAGAGATTCCGTTATTAGTATTGGATCTCTAATAATTGCTTGTAAGGAAGGTTCAGTTTCTAATTTGAGAGTATGCTGATCTAGCTGAAAACTGCATTTCTACTTACATAACCAATCAGGCTGGTGTGTTTGCAATCAGATAAATGAAAGCTAGTGTTCTTCCGACCACTCACAATCTCCAATAGTATCACACCAAAGCTATACACGTCTGACTTGATTGAAAATAGACCTTCCATTGCGTATTCAGGGGACATATAGCCACTGCATTGTGAAATGGTCAGAAATTATGCCTATCAAGCTGTCAAAGACTTGACATAGGTTGAAAGTAAGGAGGATGCATAATGCATTGCTTACTATGTGCCTACTACTCGGACTGTATTTGCTTCATATTGGTTGCAACCAAATATTCTAGCCATGCCAAAATCTGAAATCTTTGGATTCATTTCTTCATCCAACAAAATGTTACCAGACTTTAGGTCCCGATGAATTATTCTAAGTCTTGAGTCTCGATGGAGATAGAGCAGTCCTCTTGCGATGCCTTCAATGATTGCAAAGCGCTTCCCCCAGTCTAGAAGTGCTTGCTTAGTTTGATCTACCATAGATTTTATCATAAAATGCTGAGAACTATTGGGACAAATTGCATTCCATTTAAACATAATTCAAGTTTATAAATTGCATTTCAACCAGAAACATACAACTGAATCAGTAAAATGGAGAGGAGGAACCTACCAAAAAGAAAGTAATCCAAACTTTTATTTGGCATGTACTCATAAATCAGCAGCTTTTCTTCCCCTTGAATGCAGCAGCCTAATAGCCTAACAAGATTTCTGTGTTGTAGTTTAGCAATCAGGATAATCTCATTTTTAAACTCCTCTGAACCTTGGCCTGATCTTCCTGCCACCTCCAGCCTCTTTACTGCTATTTGTTGACTGGTGGGTAGCTCTCCCTGTAAACATAAACAAATGGCTGTTATATTTTTTGCACTCAAATCACTATGAGGGATATTTTCTGACAAACTTAAAAGAGTTAGAAAGGGTCACCTTGTACACAGGACCAAATCCCCCCTGCCCCAGTTTATTTTCTTCAGAGAAGTTGTTTGTAGCAGCTGCTACACATTTGAAGTTGAAGTTGAACAATGGTAACTCTGGCCCATTAACTTGACTCCCATCAACAACAAGCTCAGTTGATCCAGAAAGATCTGCTGAGAATTCGTTGCCATTGCTCCCATAAAAAGTCGGTATGCTGTTGCGAATCTCGCTTTTCATCTTCCTCTTGCACCTCCATAGAAGCCATATGGTTATGCACAAGAAGAACACCCCGGCCAAAACAATTATAGCTATCACAAGGTTGGAGATCTTTTTACCACTACCTACATAATTTGGAGAGAAAATTTAACGTCAGCTAGCAAAGTCCAATTGTTAAGTGATCTGGTAATTGATTCAATAATGACTTACTAATATACTACTGTTTCCTAAAGAAGAAAATTTGCTTTACCTAACTCAGAACGAGGGAGACGAAGGAACATCAAGTGTCCAGCCTTGTCCAAATTTTGAACATCAATCAAGTCTCCAGTCCATATCAGGCATCCAATCGTGGTAACATCTGCATATGCATTACATGAACAATTTGCTAGGCACTTTCCCCTACAAGTCTCTGAGTTCCCCGGGGTCACTCTATTTGCAAAATCTGGCAACTTCATGCACCTAAGCCCTTTGAAGCCATCCTGCTCACTGTTGCACCCTGCATCACTAGCATTCCTCTTGCACTGCAGCTCCGTCCTCCTTTCACACCCACCTGACCAATTCCCTCTATTCCATTGGTCCTGAAACTTTGGTCGAAACCCTTGTGGGCAGCTACACTTGGGAATCTTGGTGATATCACAGACCCCAAAATTCCCACAAAAGTTGTAAAGATCACAATCACTGACAGGCTCTGATTGCACCACAGTCCAGCTCTTTAGGCCATCATCCCACCTTAACTGCTCTTCCTTGCCATCCCATCCCATTCGAAACCTCACCAAATCAGAAGCATTTGGTGGGGTATAAGTGAAATACATGCTACCATCTGCCTCAGGCTCCGAAAGCCTGAAACCATATAAAAAACTAGCAAAGGAAGATACGTTGGGGACACCAGTAAATACCACTCCATTCCATTGTCCACTTCTCCACATCCTTCTGGTTTGATTCCATATCACAATCTGAGGTGCTCCAAAAGGATCAACTCCAATGCTGAAGTTCCCCGGGGAAGGATCACTGGCAGATTTCCATGAACGAAGGGCATGATTCTCTCCCTTGACAATACTCATCAGAACCCTCATTTCAGGGAGATACGTATCAGTAGGATGATCGAAGCTCTGCCAATAGGCCTTTGTGGTATGGCCAATGCTTTCATTGCTTGACAGAACAAAATTCCCAGTACCCAAGAGAATTGCTGCTGTGTTGCTTGATGGAACTGAAGCATTTGAAGTCCAAACTATGGTGTTATTACCATCTAAAACCTCTAAATTACCATCATTTCCAATCCTCAAAACACCATTTCTATCCGAGATTGGAACATCTCTATTTGCAACCCACACCACTGTTTGTTCCCCATCAATCTTATGATACCAAATTCCCACATATCTCAATGTAGAATTTGGTGGGCTGAAAAACCCCAATTCAAAAATGTCATCTTGAGATATCAGGGTTTCTCCTCTAATATCCCTTATTGATTGTTCTGACCTGATTGTGTCAATTGCATAGCAGCAACGACCAAGAAAACAGCAAGACGAAACAAAAAGGAACAAGAAAAGAAAATCAACAACTGGGGTTTTGGGATCAATGTTCATTTCATAAGTCTCTGAGAAATCAAAACAGAAACGTATGAGATGAGAGAGATCAGAAAGAAAGTGGATTCAAAGCTCAGAAGGGTTTCAGTTCGTGTTGTTTGAGGTTTTAGGAAGAAAGGTTAGACTCAAAAAGCCTATGAAACCGTTAGAATTATATTAAGCACTAAAATACTGCAGGATTGGAGTCAAAGGGCAAGTTGGACATTGGAAAACTTTAACATGGCCACCGCGGCACCGCCCACGGCCCTGGTTACAATCTGGACCGCGTGGAGTTGTGTGTCTTGTGTTCTTTTTGACCATTTGCTTTTCATCCCTTTTTAATTTTTTTCAATTTTTATATTTATTTAAAGTTCTACAGTAACTTTTACAGTGTCGTTGTTGCGGCTACAAATTATGGGCTGTTCCGTCAGAGAAGAATTTTTTTGTAAGTTTTTATTAAAAAATATTAGAAAGGAATATATAAAAATTAATAATTATTGTGTAAAAAGTTTGATAAATTTTATAAGTAAATTTTGTTAGAATTTTATTTGATTTTTAATTTTTTTATATTTAATAAAAAATTATTATAAGAAAATTTTTTTAAAAAAGTTATTAAAGATGTCTTCTCTAAAGAATTAAAGAAAATCTTATTTTTTAAATATAAAAAGAAAAATTTGTAAAAGAAAATTTTTTTAAAAAAGTTATTAAA